CAAACTACGAAGCAGTGGACTGTTTTCCTGGAGCGATTGCATAAGTCGTGCCGACAGCAACACACTTGTCCATCACTGCCCAGATAGCGATCCTTGCGGCAGCCATTTGAGTCCCAGCCATATCCCGGTTCCTGGAAGTGCTCGCAGTCGATTCGGTCGCATCCCAACGAGATGCCACGTTTCCTCCTTGGATCTTTGTCCCAGAACTTTACGGCAACACAGAAACCGTTGCTCGCACCGCAAGTCCCACGGTTTATCAGGCGTAATTTACCGTCTTCATAATATTTGTGATAATTAACGCATATTAGGCTAGCGACTTGCATCGAATAGATGAAAAGCAGCAGCACCAAATGGAACAGAAGGGAAATGAAATCCAGCGTAATACAGTTGAGTTTGACTGGCGGCAGATAGAATTGAATTACCGGGCGACGCACTGAAGCCTGTAGCCGGAACTCGAGCAAAATATATGCTGTTTGTAGAGGTTCAAAACGAGGACAACATTGACAACTTGCGCAGCCGGCCATCACGCCCCTCCTTTCCATTAATAGCAAATGAAGTGCCGAACCCGTCAATTGTTGTTTCATTTTTCAAACCTTTCTATTAATCTCCCTCACGGAATGTGGGGTATGCTGCACGAGGATGTGAAAATTCAGCATAGCAGCTAAATTTTAAGCCTCTGTGCACAGTGAGCAAGAAAACACAGGAACAGACACACACCCGCATCTGTCTCTGTGTGTTTCCAAGGGGCTGAAATGTCATGGTCTTAGTCAAAGACTAGTCTTGAATGGCTAGGAATCTAATATCATCCAGCCACATACTGGAACTCAAACTGTGCCTCGGGTGAGTAAGGACCAGATTTGCTACATGCTGCAGAATTTCATTTTTTTTGCTGTGCTCCGCACGTCATTTGCATCTTTAATCCGGGCTGTTTAATAGAGCAGTTTGGAGGATAAAGTGCACATACAAACACAGCTCTTTGTAGCTATTTGTTTTTTTTTTTTTTTTTTTTCATTTTTATGCGTTTTTGTTGCAGCGCTATAGCGCTGCTACAGCGAGCAAAAACGCATATTGTCGATGTGTGTGTGTGTTCGTAAGAGAGTAAACCTTGTCATTCACTTTCAACTCAGCAACCGGGAAAGCTGGGAGGGTGGAAGTCCGGGTCGTATTCCCACCTCATGTGTCACCTTCCTGTTTTAAATCTTCGTTCGTATGCATGTAGATCTCGCATACGGACCCCTGAAAGAAAATATATAAATTTCTTTGGCGAGAAACGATTTCGCGAATCAGACAAGATGAAAAGCTGAAGTTTTGCAGGGATATTCTTCGTGCATATGTGAGCTAAAGATTTCAAATTAAGCTATTATACACGCCTGTACCACGCGTGTGTTCACGTTAAAATTCGCAATTTGCACTGTGATGACTCGAAAATTAGCAGGAAACCAGTAGGCGAAACTTTGTCAGCATGTTTATCGCCCCATATGGGAAATCATACACCTAGAATGAGTACAAATTTGCACTTACGCCAC